CCCAACCTTAGCATGTTCAAGAACAGCGCAGAAAACCCGGGACGGCCTGGTACGTCGCCATCGGCGTCGCTCCTGTCCTGGCAGGGCACGTGCCACACATCCGGTCCGTGGGGTTTAAGCATGGGCCTAAAGCGGTCCAATTTGGGTCCGTTGTATACCCATTATCTCTCTCATATATACATATCTCTACATACACATTATGTGCAGTACCTTTTACTGGCCGTTTAGTCTGCCAAACATACGCGAAGAAGCGCTATCCTTCTCTTGAAACGTCATCCTCCGCAAACTCACCAAAATAGTTGGCCACGAAAACCTGAACAAGTATACCGAAATGGAATCCGATATTTGGAAGGTCCCTATTTGAGAAAGGGTGTTGGGTTTAGGGTGAAGTGGATTAGGATGTACAAGGTGGATTGGATGGAATGCTTCTCTAACAGCCAAATCCCGCAGACCCCAACTCCCTGAACCCAAGCCCCCATGATGTGCAGGCTTTAGTCTTTTCGGGTTTGGGGTTTAGGGTCTAGGGACTTGGCTGCACTCAAGAGGGTAGCTATAAATTAAACTTTCAATTGCCTTAATAAGAAACTCAATAAACCCAGAAAAAGGGTAAGGATCTACAGTTACAGTGAAGTACCACAAAGGGGGTTAGGGTTTTATGGGTTTAGGGCACTGTAGCGTCCAGCCCCATTTCATCCCCCCAAAGGGGGTCATGACGGGCGCCGCCATGGAAGCGCGAGGGGCGCGTGACAACTTTGGGGAAGCTCTTCTTGAAAGCGGGCTGCGGCGCAGGTTTAGGGTTTAGGGTTTAGGGTTTAGGGTTTAGGGTTCAGGGTTCAGGGTTCAGGGTTCAGGGTTCAGGGTTCAGGGTTTAGGGTTTAGGGTTTAGGGTTTAGGGTTTAGGGTTTAGGGTTTAGGGTTTAGGGTTTAGGGTTCAGGTATCGGATTGCGCGAGGCTTGTCTGAGAGTCGTCTTCGAAACCTACAGGGGCCTTGGGGCTTGGGGCATCGCGGGGTGCGTAATCTGAACAGGCAGGGCTTAGTTCAGGTTCTGCCCCTGGAGCTTGAAAGTGGCCCCGAGCTTTTCTGTTGCCTCGGTGCTGTGAGCAGTTCCAACACCTTGATACATAGGGTCATCAAAATATGAGGGGGCTGATCCAAGCACCTGTTCCCCACCGGGATTCTCAACAAGTTGTCCATGTCGGCTACGCTGTTTGAACACGAGCTGCCAATGTTGGCTTGTTGCCCCCCCCCTTAGACACCTTGCATACCCCTGCTTTGGCCGCCCTTACACCCCCCTTAGCCCCCCATTATACCCCCCCTCATACGATGGTACCCTGGATAAGGTTTAGGGCTCATCAGGGTGTAGGATTTAGGCCTGAGGCAGCGCAACTACGCTGGAACGCTGGAACGCTTAAGCCTAAACCCTAACCCTAAACCCTAAACCCTAAACCCCGGAACAGCGATGGATTCCAGCCCCTTCGCGTGTAGATCATTGGCAAAAGGGTACAACAGCGATTTCAGCTGGTAGAGCATGAGGCAGTCCCAGGCCAGCCCGTGCCAGCTCCGGTCTTCCAACCCTAAACCCTAAACCCTAAACCCTAAACCCCAAACCCTAAACCCTAAATTCAAGGGTGGTAGATGGGGATATGGCCCCTTCCCAAAGTAGGGGTCCGCTCAGATACCCCGAAACGCAGTCATCCTCCGTATAAGAACCCCAAAAAGGGTACCCCAATTTTCACAAACCCCCCTATAAAACAAACCCTACACCCTAAACCCTAAACCCTAAACCCTAAACTCTAGCACAGGCTGCCCTGACACCCCTCCGTGGCGCTCTCGCGGGCCTCGGGAGGCTATGCATGTACCCGAACCGCGGAGGCAGTCGTCTGCGGGAAAAGCCACAGTCGACAGTGGACTTCGAGGACACCAGGTTTAGGGTTTAGGGTTTAGGGCTGAGGGCTGAGGGCTTAGGGTCTAGGGCTTACGGCACTGACATGCCTCATCCCCAAACCCTACACCCCTAAACCCTAAACCCTAAACCCTTAACCCTGAACCCTTAACCCTAAACTCTGAACACTAAACCCTAAACCTATAGTGTCCTTATTCAAGAGAAGTGTAGGGTTTAGGGTTTAGGGTTTAGGGTTTAGGGTTTAGGGTGTCGGGTGTAGGGTTTAGAGTTTAGGGTTTGGGGTTTGGGGTTGGGGGTTAAAGGTTAGGGTTCAGGTTAGGGTTCAGGGTTCAGGGTTCAGGGTTCAGGGTTTAGGGTTTAGGGAAAACTCCCGCGCAAGCCCTGCTGAACACCCTAAAGCACCCCCTTACAGGTAACCCCCTTAAGGCGCCCCCTCTTCGGGTGTCCTCGCCGTCTGGCTTTCTGGAAACCGAGCCTTTCAACCCTCGTGAGAAAGGCTCATCTTCGCAGCAGGGGTGCGGTCGTACCACGCAGGACTTAGGGATGAACGGTTCGAAGGGTTTAGGGTTTAGGGTTTAGGGTTTAGGGTTTAGGGTTTAGGGTTTAGGGTTTAGGGTTTAGGGTTTAGGGTTTAGGGTTTGTAGGGTTTAGGGTTTATAGGGTTTAGGGTGTAGCATGGTCCCTTCGTACAGGACCCTTAAAAGGGGACCCCTTATATGCCCCTTATATACCCTGTACAAATTAGTTCGGAAGCACTCAACACCCCCCTCCCCCCCCCCCCCCCCCAAAAAAAAAAATACATATATATATATATATATAACAAAAAAATATGTACACGTACAGACAGGGATACACAAACAATGAACAAAAAGGCACAATTTAGAAAAGTAACAAAGCCCTAAACACCTAACCCCAAACCCCCTATATAAACTGCTACACCACGAAATCCCTCAAACGCTTCACTCTGATCGCTGCCCTAAACCCTAAACCCTATACCCTAAACCCTAAACCCTAACCCTGATCCCTCCCTAGAGCAGTTGAAGGCAGCCACACTGGCCTTCCATTCACCCGTGCTTCCACAAACCTCTGCAGACACACAAACACAAAATGAAAATACAAAAAAACAGGCCCCTAAATCCTTAACGGTTTAGGGTTTAGGGTTTAGGGTTTAGGGTTTAGGGTTTAGGGTTTAGAGTTTAGGGTTCAGGGGAGAGCCGGTGGATTTGAGGGTTTAGGGTTTTGTGGGTTTAGGGTGCAGATGGGTGCAGGGCCTTTTGGGTTTGCGGCTTAAGTTTGAAAGGTTTAGGGTTTAGGGGTGCAGATCCTCCCCACCCCCCCGCGGCAGTGCAAATCTGCTCAGCAGCAGCCGGACGCCTTCTTCTTCTTGCTCCTAAGTCGTGGAAGCTTACCGTGGAAAAACCATAAAGCCCTCACAGCCCTAAACCCTGGAAGCCCGAAAGCAACCAAACCCTAGCAGCTCTAAACCCTATTTCTAAGACCCTAAACCCTCAATGCTCTAAGAGCCCTAGTAGCCCTAAACCCTAAAACCACAGAAACCCCAAACCCTAAACCCTAGCAACCCTAGAGCAAGCGTAGCAACCCCAAATCTAAACCCCAAACCCAAAACCCTAAACCCCATACCCCAAACCCCCAAACCCTAAACCCCAAACCCACAAACCCTAAACCCCAAACCCCAAACCCACAAACCCAAGACCCCAAACCCTATACCCAAACCCTAAACCCTAAACCCCAAACCCGGAACCCCAAACCCGACACCCTAAACCCCCAAACCCTAAACCCCAAACCCGAAACCCCGAACCCGAAACCCTAAACCCCAAACCCTAACCGCAAACCCTAAAACCCTAAACCCTAAACCCGCCTTTCCTACCGGAATCAGAGAACGCGCAGGCTCAGCCCCGGACTTCTTCTTGTCGGCCTGCCAGTTACAGGTTGGGTTTTGGGGGGGGGGGGGGGGGGGCGTTTTACCCTTCAGTCTTGCCCTAAACCCTAAACCCTAAACCCTCAACCCTAAACCCTAAACCCTAAACCCTAAACCCTAAACCCTAAACCCTAAACCCCAAACCTACTACTTGCTTTCAGAACCCACTCAAAAATAGATGATCATCCCCATACTGCCCTCACGAGGAAGACTATCTTTCAAGTTGTGTTTTTTTTTTTTTTTTGGGGGGGGGGGGGGTTCTGCAGCAAATGTTCGTCAAATCTATCTTCAACCAGGGCTCAGAGTTTAGGGTTTAAGAAGATTAGGGTTCAGTGTTGAGGGTTTATTGAAATTATTAAGGGTTCAGGTCCGCGAAAAGCTTCGAAGAGTTTCGAGGAGTTTCGAGGAGTTTCGAGGAAAGCTTCGTTTTTAGACTTTTTCTTAATAGTTTCAAGTTACAGGGGGCTTGAGGGTTTAGGGTTCAGGGGTTAGGCACAAGACTCCTGTATGCCCGAACCCCTTGTTCTGAATAAAGCCCCAACCTCACTCACTCGGTAGACCTGCAACCCCAACCCGAGGTACCTGGAGGTTCACGGGTACTTGTAATATACATATATATATATATGTCTACCTATAACCTACTTAGAGGACTTAGGGGGCTTAGAGGTGCAGGCATCATTGAGTTTATAAGCACGTTGAACCTCCAAGTACTACAAGGTACCAAAAGCCCCCTCCCTCCCCTCCCCCCCTCCCAGCCCCTCTCGCCCAAGAAAAGAAGCGAGAGCAAGAATGAGGGCCTCAGTCCTGCAAGAACCCAAGCCCTAACTACCTGACATTCACGCCAACCCAAACCTTAAACCCTAAACCCTGGAGCGTCCCCAAACATCCTCGTCTCTGAGTGTTTAGGGATTTGGGGGCGCGAAGGGCCGCAGAGTATTGCGGGGATGTTCTTGTTCACTTCGCTGCACTCCGGGCCCTAAACCCTAAACCCCAAACCCTAAACCCCAAACCCTAAACCCCAAACCCTAACCTCTGGGATACACCTGTGGGATGGAGGGGCAAATCTCGGTTGAGGCGACTCGGTGGATGTCGGGTTCAGGGTTTTACTATATTAGAGGTTCCTTGAATTTCCTTCTAATATGGCCCTTAGATTCCTTTAGAGAACCTTGTAAACAGATTCGTGCTCCACACTGAGGTTGCCCGCTGTTGCCATCCTGTACCAAGGCGACGTCCAGACTCCCGCGTCGCCAGGCGGCTGGAATACCCTAAACCCTAAACCCTAAACCCTAAACCCTAAACCCTAAACCCTAAACCCTAAACCCTAAACCCTAAACCCTAAACCCTAAACCCAGAACAATCTGTCCATCAAGCTCTCGGCGCAGGGAGGCAACGTGGGGCTTGCCGGTGGCACCAAACTCTCGGCGCAGGGAGGCAATCTGGGGCTTGCTGGCGGCACCAAACTCTCAGCGCTGGGAAGCGGCCCTACTCGAGCCTTGGCCCTGGGTCGCAAAGGCAACGGCGGCGACGAAGAGGTAGACATCTCCGAGGGCCCTCGAAGCCAAGATTCAATGAGATGGAATGACTTACTCGACAGCTTTGATGACAGCATATAGTGGTTGGCGGTCAGATCGCATGATATGCTATTCTGCCGATGTCCCCAAACCCCAACTAAACCCCATGTAAGTGCTAAACCCTATGCCCTTAACCCTAAGCCCTAAGCAATAAGCCCTAAGCCCTAAGCCCTAAAACATAAGCCATAAGCCCCAAACCCTAAACCCCTAGCCCTGCACCCTGAACTTCTCAAAAAATGAGGGCACCTTGGGGGGCGCCGCGCCCATCTTGCCTTCGCGGTTTAGGGGTGCAGCGCTGGGGGTTGCAAGGTGCTAGCACTTCTTCTTTTAGGGTCTAGAGTTTAGGGTTTAGGGTTTAGGGATAGTTGTTGTGGGGTTCGTGCTTTAGGGGTTGAGCGCTTGAAGGTGTCATGGCTTTATTGGGCATTCATGGTGTTTTTTGTTTAGGCTTGTCGGGTTCTAGGGCTTTGCAGAGTTTAGGTTGAGGGTCTGGGGTTTGGGCTTTGTTGTTCGGGCTTAGGGCCTTCTATTCTTAGAGTATCCAACCCTAAACCCTAAACCCTGCCCTAAGCGGTAGGCCCCTACTTGAAGGCTCTACAAGTACGGGTCGTTGATGTGTGGGGTTGTTAGCAGTTGCACGGAATCAGGGTTGAGGGTTTAGGGTGTAGGGTTTGGGGTTCCAAAGGTGCGTATAGGGGAACCTAAAAAAGTCAGAGTAGGGGATTGGAGTCTTAGGGGGGTTTCGGGTTGATTGGAAAAATTGTTAAAGAAGCTCGTGCCCTAGGGTTTGGGGTTAGGGATTTAGGGTTTAGGGTTAGGGGTTTAGGGTTTAGAGTTTAGGGCGATGCGACCGTGGCACTCGCAGCAGCAGTCATGCCCTTCATGGACTTCACGGTCTCCGACATGGCGTGGTGGGCCTCTCCAAGACGCATTGAGGGTTTAGGGTTAGGGTTTAGGGTTTAGGGTTTAGGGCTTAGGGCTTAGGGCTTAGGGCTTAGGGCTTAGGGCTTAGGGCTTAGGGCTTAGGGTTTAGGGTTTAGGGTTTAGGGTTTAGGGTTTAGGGTTTGGGGTTTTTGGGTTTGGGGTTTGGGGTTAGGGTTTTAGGGTTTAGGGTTTAGGGTATTTAGGGTTTAGGGTTTAGGGGTTTAGGTTTTAGGGTTTAGGGTTTAGGGTTTAGGGTTTAGGGTTTAGGGTTTAGGGTTCAGGGTTCAGGGTTCAGGGTTCAGGGTTCAGGGTTCACGGTTCAGGGTTCAGGGTTCAGGGTTCAGGGTTTAGGGTTTAGGGTTTAGGGTTTAGGGTTTAGGGTTTAGGGTTTAGGGATAGGGTTTGGGGTTTCGGGTTGAGGGTTGAAGGTTTAGGGTCGAGTGTCTAGGGTTCAGGGCCTGGGCAGTCTAGAGGCTGAAGGCGCTAAGGCTACGAGCCAAAACCCTAAACCCTAAATTCTCAATCCTAAACCCTAAACCCTAAAACCCCTAAAACACTAAAAACCTAAACCCTAAACCCCCCCGGCCTGGGGTTCGGCATGACCCTCGGGGTGCGGAACGGCCATGAACCCGGGGGGCAGGGCCTCACCGGGGGCGAACCTCGGGGGTTGAAGCGACCGATTGGGGGGTGTAGGGTTTGGGGTTTAGGGTTTAGGGTTTAGGGTCTAGGGTCTAGGGTTTAGGCTTTAGGGTTTAGGGTTTAGGGTTTAGGGTTTCGGGTTTAGGGTTTAGGGTTTAGGGTTTAGGGTTTAGGGTTTAGGGTTTAGGGTTTAGGGTTTAGGGTTTAGGGTTTAGGGTTTAGGGTTTAGGGTTTAGGGTTTAGGGTTTAGGGTTTAGGGTTTAGGGTTTAGGGTTTAGGGTTTAGACCTCTAATTTGCAGAAGCCCTCAGACCCCAGATGGGGCCAGCGCCACTTGCCCTGCGAGTGGTCAATGGGGGCGGGGGCTGGCGCAGCGGCGGCGGCGACAGGGTAGGGACCTCGACATTGAGCTTCGGATTTAAGGCTTGGGGTTGAGATATTTCGGGCAACCCTAAACCCTAAACCCTAAACCCTAAACCCTAAACCAGCAGGGTTCAGGGGACTGGGGGTTTTTAGGGTGCAGCATACAACCATCTATTCAGGCTCCCTAGACAAGGAACCCCCAACTGTGACCCTAAACCCTAAATCTCCTGGGAACCTGTATAACTTCCACCTGCCCAAATCCAAAGAACACGTAACTTGGTTTAGGGTTTCGGGCTTAGGGTTTAGGGGTTTCGGGCTTAGGGGTTTAGGGTTAGGGTTTAGAGTTTAGGGTTTAAAGGTCAGCTTAAGCATTCCTCCAAAGGGGCTGTACGGTGATCCTGCCACCATCGACATTGCTGGAGGGAGACCGGGATCCTGGCGTGAACTTGGAGGTTCACGGTGCTTAGCAACCCAATTATAACTGTACTTATAACCTTGTGGGTGCTTAAGGGGCTTAAACCCTAAACCCTAAACCCTAAACCCCAAACCCTAAACCCTAAGCCCTAAACCCTAAACCCTAAACCCTAAACTTCTATGTGGGTTATGACTACTCTTCTAAGAACCTCCAAGTGGCGCGAAAGCTGGAGGTTCAAGTGGGACAGTTGCGTCTGAGGGCATACCAGGGTTTAGGTTTAGAGGGTTTAGAGGGCTTGGGGCTTGGGGTGTTGCAGGGGTTTAGGGTTTAGGGTTTAGGGCTTAGGGCTTAGGGCTTAGGGCTTAGGGCTGAGGGCTTCGGGCTTAGGGCTTGGGGCTTAGGGGCTAGGGGCCCAGACTGTCTCTGCAAAAAACGGACATTCTTACTTACGGCGCCCACAATCCAGCATAGGGCCAGGAGGAGGAATTTCCTTAATTGAATGAGACGCTTTTGGGCCCCCCCCCCCCTCCCCCCCTCCGCCCCACCCCCCACTATGCCCCTTTGTTATCCTGCGTCTTCCAGGGCCTGTCGGATCTCTAAGCTCAGCGCTTGCTGCGGGACGCTTCTTGGAGCCAGGCCCACCACCGTTGTCAACGCCTGCCTCGGAGAGAGCTCGCTTGGCTGAGATCTGCTCAAAGTGCTTCGCCAGCGAGTCCAGTCTCCAGTGGCGCGCCAAGCTTGCAGGAGACTTCCGACTTCTTGCTGGGGGCGCCGATGCCAGCGCGAACTGCCGGTGCGGGAGGGCGGCGCGCTCTTTGCCGGCAGCCCAAGTCGTCCACCCGGCCGGCGTCCAAGCGATGCTGTCCGCCCGATGACAGGCCACTCCATAGGGAATCTTGCAAAACCTGTTGCCCGCCAGCTCCGCGCGCAGCTTGCATGCCATCTTGGCATACGTCAGCCCGTAGCACAAGAAGATCTCGATGTCGGTCACGCTGACATCCGCATGGACATGCGGGAAGTGCTGCCTCTCATGGGTTTCCCCCTTCTACTACCCCCCCCTAGGTTCCCCCCTTTAAATAACCTTAATTAAGCTAAATCGTCCCTAAATCGCCATAACTATGGGGGAACCCTACACCCTAAACCCTAAATTTAAACCCTGAACCCTGAACCCTAAACCCTAAACCCTAGAAAAGGTAGTATAGACAAAGTAGTAGGGGAACCGGAACCCATGAGCCTCATGCAATCCTGCAGGTGCGGCCGCAGCCTCGTGGCAGCGCGCAGAAGCTCGGACTTCGCGCCGAGAAACACCAAAGCACCCTGCCTTGGATGGCCCTGAACACCGGGTTTAGGGTTTAGGGTTTAGGGCTGAGGGGTTCAGGGGTGTAGGGTTTAGGGTTTTGGGGTATTCCTGAATAACATCCTCTTAAACCCAAAAAAGGGGAAAATGAAAAAATGTCCCCCAAAACGGGCCGCCCGAGCTGCTTCGCACCAGGCCCGAAGGGTATGGCTTCGGCAGCCATCGCGCGGAAGCTCGGGTGGCTGGACACGCCCAAGTAGCTGAAGACCTGAGGCTGCATACAAGAGGGCCCCTTTTTGAGAGAGCCCCTAAACCCTAAACCCTAAACCCTAAACCCTAAACCCTACACCCTACACCCTAAACCCTAAACCCTAAACCCTAAACCCTAAACCCTAAGAACATATTTGAGGTACTCCAGGGCTTCTATGGAGTAGTCGAATGGGGGACTACATGTCCATTAGGTCGATCTTGGGCACCTTTGGGGGGGGGGGGGGTTTAGGGTTTAGGGTTTAGGGTTTAGGGCTTAGGGTTTAGGGTTTAGGGTTTAGGGTTTAGGGTTTAGGCTTTAGGGTTTAGGCTTTAGGGCTTTAGGGCTTTAGGGCTTTAGGGCTTTAGGGCTTTAGGGCTTTAGGGCTTTAGGGCTTTAGGGCTTTAGGGCTTTAGGGCTTTAGGGCTTTAGGGCTTTAGGGCTTATAGGGTTTAGGGAACTACCACCTCCTTCTGCGTGAGCTCTCCAAAGCCGCGAACCTTCTTCATGGCTTGCCTATACTGAGCTTGGAACCCTAGCAAGGATATCATCATTTTAGCTGTTTCTTAGGAGCTGTAGTACCAAACAATACGAGAAAATGTCCCGTTTCCTAGGAGTTATACTAGTACCAAAAAGTCATCATTTCAGCTGCTTCTTAGGAGGTATAGTACCAAAAATGCTAAAACAACATGTTCCCAAGTATCCCCAAGTTGCAGGAAGCTCTCCGAACCCTGGGCAAAAGCAGCTGTCAGAGTTGGCACGCTGTCGTGCCACAGGGCGAGCATGCGGAAGTAGTCCCTACCTAGGCTGCCCAGTATCCTAGGAATAAAAAGGGTGCCCCCTTTGTTGCTTAAAGGGGTTTATAAGGCAACCTACACTAAAAAAGGGAAAAAAGGGCACTACTGGGCATCCTAGCTGCTAAAGCGCAGGCCCTTGTCGCGCCCGTCGCTCCCGAAGAAGGACAGCAGGCGGTTGCTGCTGCGCTGCACGCACCTTGGCTGCACTTAGGAGGCTAGCTATAAAATTAAACTTTTAGCTGCCTTGCTAAGAAACCCAATAAGCCCAAAAAGGCCAAAAGATCTAAAGATTACAGTAAAGCACCACAAAGGCACATCATGGCGTACTTCATCACCTCCCAGGGCTGCTTCTGCTGAAGCTTGCGGCTGTACCTGGGAGGGCATTGAAAACTTAGAATTTATGATTCCCTCTTTTGGGTTTAAGTACCCTTAAGAAATGTAAGGCTGTACCTGAAATCATGGCTGGGAGGGCACTGAAAATTCAGGTTGATGATTTCCTATTTTGGGTTTTTTATGTACCCTTAAGAATGGAACAGGCTTATGATTCCCTATTTGGGTTTAGGGTTTAGGGTTTAGGGTTTAGGGTTTAGGGTTTAGGGTTTAGGGTTTAGGGTTTAGGGTTTAGGGTTTAGGGTTTAGGGTTTAAAGTAGCTTTTAAAAATGTAACACGAGTTACCCAACTATGACAAAGGTACATCATGATGGCTGGTATGGCGCACAGCTCTTGCCACGGCTGACCGTGCACGCCGCCCGCGCCAAGCCAGGTGAACAAGACCAGGCGCCACATCTTATGCTTGTCCATGTGCGGCCCGCCAGCGTCCACCAGCACTTGGACCAGCCTCCCTTCAGGTGTTGTAGCCCAAGTGCCTCTTAGGGTAGGAAAAAATTAAAACTTTTAGCTGCCTTATTAAAAAGCCCAATAAACCCAAAAAGGCTAAGGATCCAACGTGACAGTAAAGCACCACAAAGGCCTGTCAGCTGGTCAGGGAAGCGATTGATGAAGTAGCAGGGGACCTTCGGCGTGCGCCTCGACTCTGTCGCCTGCTCTCGCATCAGTCCCAACATCACCGCGAAAGTGACCTGGGGCTCGGTGAGTGCCTTATGTGGCTTTACAGTGAGGCCGAGGTCCTCCGCAAGGTATGTTCGTAGTTCTTTTGCCATCTTCATCGGGCCGTCCGCCATGGCCCACGCAGCTCAGGATCCAGTTTAGCGTTTGAGCTTTCGGGTTTCTTGGAAGCCCAGTAGCCCTAAACCCTAAACCCTAAACCCTAAACCCTAAACCCTAAACCCTGAACCCTGAACACTGAACACTGAACCCTGAACCCTGAACCCTAACCCTAAACCCTAAACCCTAAACCCTAAACCCTAAACCCTAATATAATAAGGGCACTCTTGCGGGTTGGTTACTGTAGAAGGGAACCTTGAACCAACAAAAGGGAAAAAGTACCACTGGGCTAGCAGGGTTTAGCGCATTCGCCTTGCAGAGCGTGTTCTACGTGTTGTTTTGAGATGGTCTGCTTAATTTCCCTCAGAGATAAAGTCATGATGCAGACGGCGGTTAAAAACCCTAAATCCTAAACCCCAAACCCTAAACCCCAAACCCTAAACCCTAAACCCCATCGCTTCGCGACTACTATTACTGTGAAGCAGTTCGATCCAGCACCCGCACTGCGTGACGGGCTCATGTCTTTTTTCGGGCTGGATCATCTTGGTGGTAGAGGGTCTTGGCTGAAGGGTAGCTATAAAGTAGATTTTTAGCTGCCTTCTTAAGAAACCCAATAAACCCAAAAAGGCTAAGGATCTAAAGTTACAGTAAAGCACCACAAAGGGATTTCATGTAGGAAGTATTGGAGGGGTCTATCTAAAGTCTGTTTGGTCGGCTCTGGAAGTTCGGGTCCTGTTTTGGGGCCCTAAACCCTACATCTTAGGGGGCCCGCCTTGTCGTGACCCGGGCTTAGGGTTTAGGGTTTAGGGGATACATTCCCAGGAGTAACCCAGGAATAAACAGAGTACCCTTCTTGGTCTTAAGGGAAACCCCACCCTAAAAAAAGGAAATCAGGGCCTACTAAACCCTAAACCCTAAACCCTAAACCCCAAACGGCGCCTGCATGTAGGTGACGGGCTGTCCGAGGTCGTAGCCCTGCAGCACGGGGAGGGCTTGGAGCTTAGGGGGCTACCTAGGGTTTAGGGTTTAGGGTTTAGGGTTTAGGGTTTAGGGTTTAGGGTTTAGGGTTTAGGGTTTAGGGTTTAGGGTTTAGGGTTTAGGGTTTAGGGTTTGGGGGAATCAGGCAAACTTCGACTGCTCCGGGCTTTCGTCGCCTGCGGCAGGTACTGGATTGGCTGGCCGTACTCGTCGACGTAGGTGACCCTTAGGATGCAAAAATTGTTGGGTTTATACGGGTTTAGGGTTTAGGGTTTAGGGTTTAGGGTTTAGGGTTTAGGGTTTAGGGTTTAGGGTTAAGACTGAACCCTGTTGGCCCTGCAGTTGCGCTCCGGGCTGAAAAGTACATCCTTTTGGGGCCCCGCCTCCAAGTTGGTTGGGTTTCAGGGTTAAGGGTTTTCCGTTCAGGGTTCAGGGTTCAGGGTTAAGGCTGTTCAGGATTAAGGCATTGAGGTTTGGGCTCTTGGGTCTTGGGGTTGGGGTTTTGGGGGTTTGGGGGTTTAGGGTTTGGGGAATTTGAGGTTTGGGGTCAAATGAGCAGATACAAGTACAGGGATAGAAGTCACGTAACCGTGACAAACCCTAAACCCTAAACCCTAAACAAAAAACCCTAAACCCGATCTTCGTTAAGGCAGCAGGGTTGATATTTCTTGTACCCCCACAAGGTATATACACTCACCAAGATTAACAAGGAACCTTATATACACTCACCAAAACCTGAAATATAAACCCTGCTTCATGTGAAGTTAAAGGAGTTTGGGGTTCAGGGCTTAGCGTCAAGGGTTAAGGACTTTGGGGTTCAAGGTCTAGGCGAGGGTTCAGGGTTTAGCACTCTGGGCTTCAGGATTTAGGTTTCAGGGTTAGGTTGACATTTCGCTTGGAGGGGCTGGGCGCGAAATTCAACAACGCCCCACCCCCCCCCCCCCTCCCCCCAAGCCCTCCGAGGGGTTGCCTGCGGAAAACAACACCTGGGGCCCCCGTTCCGGGGTCCTGAGTCCGAAACCCCTAGGCCCTAAACCCTAAACCCTAAAGCAACCGAAGGATGCCAATTCCCCAACAAAAAAAAACTTTAACCCCAAACCCTGAACCCCAAACCCCAGACCCTTAACCCTAAACCCTAAACCCTAAACCCTGAACCCAAACCCCAAACCCCAAACCTTAAACCCCAAACCCTAAACCCCTAAAGCACTTCTTAAGCCTAACAATAATACTAAGAATACGAAGAAGAAGAATGATGAGAAGAAGAATAGTAACTTGAGCCCAGCAGCTGGCCGTAGTCGGCCGCCCCGTAGGCACCGTAGTCGGCAGCCCCATAGGTGATTGGCTGGCCTGCGTCCATCTGATAGGTCCTGCACCACCAGGGTTTAGGGTCTAGGGTTTAGGGTTTAGGGCTCAGGGCTTAGGGTTTAAGGTTTGGGGTTTAGGGTTTAGGGTTTGGGGTTTAGGGTTTAGGGTTTAGGGTTTAGGGTTTAGGGTATAGGGTTTAGGGCTTAGGGCTGATAAATAAGGTTTAGGGCTTAGGGTTGAGGGGTTTAGGGGGTTAGGGGTTTAGGAAGGGTTTAGGGTTTAGGGTTTAGGGCGACAACAGCAGTGAGCGACTTCTCCTTACGCAGGCACTTGCTTCGCGATCTACGGGAAGCTACATGGTCCCCCGATACAGTTTGGGGTTTTGGGTTGCGGGCTGAGGGGTTCCTTGACATGGTTTCTGACCTCTCAAACCCCATGCATGGTACTGTTTTCTTGCTCCAAGCGCAACGCGAGTCTTCAACCGCAAAGGGGCTCGGGTTTAGGGTTGGGCCTTAGGGCTCAGGGTTTAGGTTTAGGATCAAGGTTTTAGGGTTTAGTTTAGGGTTGAGAACCCCCCCTTCCCAAAGGCGGTCATCATGGGCTGTGCCATCTCCGATCCGGTCGTGTACATCACCTGCGTCGGCTGTTGGATGTTGGCTTGAGGTAGGGATTACGGCGTAGGCTTGAAGCGGGGTTTCCGGCAAAACCCGAAACCCAGTAAACGCAGAATCAACAAACCCTCAAACCCCCAAGCCCTAAACCCAATCAACAACCCCTAAGCCCCAACAAACAAAACAAACAGGTGCCCCGCAAGGAGCTAATCCCCCCCAACCCTACAACCCACCCCAGCCCGAAAGCGCCCAAGGACCAACCCCAAACCTAGGGGCCCTGAGCCCAAAACCCCATTTGCCAGAGCACTAACCTCGCTTTTGAGCACTTCTTGAGAAAAAACAAAACACTCTCGACATCGCGTTTCTCATGCAGCCAACCACCATTTCGTATCGTGAGGACCATGCTTCTCCACTTCAGACAAAGAAAAGCTGTGGGCAAACGAGCCCGATGGACCCCCAACAGACATCGTTTAGGGTTCATAGGGCTATAGGGCTCGCAGGGCTGATAGAGTTTTTGTAGGGATTATAGGCTTTACAGTGTTACAAAGTAGGGTGTACTAGGCTTAGGACCCTGAACCAAAAACCCTAAACCCTTAAACCCTAAACCCTAAACCCTAAAACCCTAAAACCCTAAAACCCTAAAACCCTAAAACCCTAAACCCTAAACCCTAATCGAAGCCCAGTGGCAGGCTGAGCCATGACTTGCGGGTTCAAAGGTCTCCGATGCGGGGCCAAAGTCGACAGCTGCTGCTGAGGCGGTAACGGCTGCGGGTTTAGGGTTTATAGGGTTTGGGGTTTAGGGTTTGGGGTTTGGGGTTTAGGGTTTAGGGTTTGGGGTTGAATTCCACAAGTTTCAGGGGTTGAGGGTAGAAAGGAGGGGAGACAAAAAAAGAACCTAAACCGACAAAAGCATGCTTTTGGGCGGGACGGGGATTAGGGTTTAGGGCCTTGAGGGAGTTTAGGGTGAGGGAAGGTTAGGGTGGGAAGTAGGGTTCATGGAGCTTGGCCAGTTTAGGGGGCTTCGGGTTGCAAGCTCTTTGGGTTTCCAGAGGATCTTAGGGTTCTGGCGCTGCTGGTTGGGCCCGAGGGGGTGTCATGGATTTAGTCGTTTTCAGGGGTTTAGGGTTCAGGGTTCAAGGTTTAGGCTTTAGGTTTAGGGTTTAGGGTTTTTTCGGGTTTAGGGTGGCGGAGAGAGGGGGTTAGAGCCTTGGGGATTTCAGGGCTTCGCAGCTCAAATTTTGAGGAGGGTCACTGGAGACATCCCTCAACCCTAAACCCTCAGCCCTAAACCTAAAGTCTTCTTTCTTGAATCAAGAAAGAAGACTTTAGGTTTAGGGCTGAGGGTTTAGGGTTGAGGGATGTCTCCGGTGATGGGTGTGAGAAAAGGGAGCTGGGCACTTGCCGGGGTTTAGGTTGCGGGGGTTTCCGGTACCCTACGCCCAACCCTAAATCTCTGAACCCTAAACTGTTGGGGGGCTTAGCGAACTAGGTTCCCCAGCAATCTGAGAACAAAAAGGGCGCCCCTGAAGGTTCCTAAGAATGACCCTAAACCCTAAACCCTAAACCCTAAACCCTGAACCCTGAACCCTGAACCCTGAACCCTAAACCCTAAACCCTAAACCCACCGTAGTACAAGGTACTATTTGGGGATTCTACTTCTTGGATCCCTGGGATTTCGGGTTTCCTTCGACCCAGGCTCCTAAAACCCGACTCCCCGAAGAGGGTTTAGGGTTTAGGGTTTAGGATTTAGGGTTTACGGCTTAGGGTTTAGGGTTTAGGGTTTCTACCTCTGGAAAGCCCCACCCGGAATTGCTCGACGCACGCTACGCTCAGACGTACCTGCCCCAATGGCTTGTGAAACTTTGTTGCGACAGATCAACGCATCAAGATGGCGCAGTTCCGGGCTTGGGGCCCAGGGCTTTGCTCCTACTCCATGTAGCGCAGGCCTAGAAAACAGGCACGTAGTCAAGGACAACCCTAAATCCGAAACCCTAAACCCTCTTATATACCCGCAAGAGGGACGCGCACGAGCTTCGGGAAGATTGGACAGTTGCTTTAGGGACATCACAGGCTCCCCTAAACCCTAAACCCTACACCCTAAACCCTAAACCCTAAACCCTACACCAGGAGCAGTTCCGATTGCTGGGATTGGGCTGGGCCCCTTCCGAGCATCACTTGCTTGTGCCTCTTAGTGTTTAGGGCTTCGGGTTGAGGGTTCCAGGGCTGCGACTCCGCACATCGGAGGGTTTAGGGTTTAGGGTTTCGGGTTTAGGGTTTAGGGTTTAGGGCTAGCAAGTATCCTACCTTTCCTTGCATCACGGCATCGGCATCTCTCCTAGATGTGGTCAGGGTGCGGCAACCTTGTGAGCCTGATTGAGGAAAGCGTCTCCTGGCCTTGGTAAATTCAAATCCGCTCAGCTCCGCCATGAAGCTCAACAAGCACCCTAAACTCTAAACCCTAAACCCTAAACCCTAAACCCTAAACCCTAAACCACGCTGCCTAGTGCTGGGGACGAACTTCAGAGCCCGAACCCTTCAACACAATACACCCCAAGCCCTTCGCAGGTCCGGTGCCCTGGCCTCCTGCCACAATCACCCTAAACCCTAAACCCTGGGTCCTTAACCCTGAACCCTAAACCCTAACCCCAAACCCGCTTTCTTGGGGTTAAGACCCAAAACTACTCTGGGGTTGAGGGTTTGGGGTTGCTTCTGGGCGACCTCACAACAGAACTGACATGGAGATTCTTGAATCCCAAATCACCCTAAACCCTAAACACTAAAGCCTAAACCCTAAACCCTAAACCCTGAACCCTGAACCCCAGGATTCAGCTGCATACTCCGAACTGCCGAGCCCCCAAACCCCCTAAGGCCTAAGCCCTACGCGCATCGAATCCCGGAGCAAGTCATTCTTCCTGCATGGGGTTTAGGGTTTAGGGTTTAGGGTTTAGGGTTTAGGGTTTAGGGTTTAGGGTGTAGGGTGTAGGGTTTAGGGTTTAGGGTTTAGGGTTTAGCGTTTGGGGCTCAGGGTTAGGCCCCTCAAAGCCGTAACCCTTGGAAAGCCTGATAACGTCGAAACCTCAAGACTCTTCCGGAAGCAAGGCCAATGGGTATTCGGGTAGCTTAGATCTTGCAACCATACGGGGACTGGATAGGGACGATAGCGGCAGTGGCCTGAAGCCTATGCAGGTCTTTTCGCCTGGTCTTCAGTTTACATCGGTTTGTGGTTGAGGGATTGGGGTTTAGGGTTGCGGGTTTGGGGTTCAGGGTACCGGGAATGGAACTGCACAGGAAACCTTAAGCACTGATCCCCAAGCAGCCAGGTGTATTTTCCGAGCGAGGTAGGCAAAACATTGGCGGTGACAGCATCGGCACATTCTCCGGCACCGAAACCCTAAACCCTAAACCCTAAACCCTACAAGAACTTCGGGGCTAGATGAGAGAGATTTTCCGGCCAGAGGTTCACAGCTGCGAAGCAAAACGTGGTGAGGCCCGCCGGTCCACTTCATACCCGTCCCCCCATGAAACGGGCCATGGTGGAATTCCCCTGCGCCGCGCCCGAAGGATTAACCCTAAACCCCAAAGCCTAAACCCTAAACCCCAAAGCCTAAACCTTAAACCCTAAACCCTAAACCCTAAACCCTGAACCCTAAACCCTAAACACTAAACCCTAAACCCTGAACCCTAAACCCTGAACAAATTCGACCGCCTTGCAGATGCGAGCTGCTGGCTTTGCATCTGTAACCAAACCTAAACCCTAAATTTGGCCGCTCATGTGGGTTTAGGAAACCCTAAACCCTAAACCCTAAACCCTAAACCCGAAACCCTAAACCCTAAACCCTAAACCTTAGAGTTCAGGGGCTGCTCCCAATCCGAGCACAGCACGAGGTCCAAGACAACGGCATGGCCATGCCCTCTTGAGGCTAACAGGGAGCCGCCGCACTAGGGTGTAGGGTTTAGGGCTTAAGGCTTAGGGCTTAGGGCTTAGGGCTTAGGGCTTAGGGCTTAGGGCTTAGGGCTTAGGGCTTAGGGTTTAGGGTTTAGGTTCAGGGCTTAGGGTTTAGGGTTTATCGTCAATATCCCAAGTCATAAGCCCAAGTTCACCCTAAACCCTAAACCCTTAAGGGGATCTACTTTTTGGATCCTCCCACCGTTCTGGGGCATCGAGCTGCCTATGCTCCCTGAAGCCGCCAAAGAGGGCTCGAAATTTGCACATTCTCAGCAGCAGCCGGAGGACTTCTTCTTCTTGCTCCTGGGCTGCGCGTGCTCGTGGGTGGGAAGAGGCTGTGAGCTCAGCTAGGGCTTTAGGGGCCCTGAACCCTAAACCCTAAACCCTAAACCCTAAACCCTAAACCCTAAACCCTAAACCCTAAACCCTGAGTCCATCCCTGCCAAGGTGCTTCTTCTTGTCCTTGCCTCTCTGCAGGGGGAGATACCCCCCGGTTGGGCGAGGGTGGACTGCAGGGTTTAGGGTTTAGGGTTTAGGGTTTAGGGTTTAGGGTTTAGGGTTTAGGGTTTAGGGTTTAGGGTTCAGGGTTCAGGGTTCAGTGTTTAGGGTTTAGGGTTTAGGGTTAGCGTTTCGGGTCTTTTCGGGGGTTTCGGGGGCCTGAACACCATGAAGCCTCAAAGCCTTAAGCCCTCGACCTTATCATGAAGCCCTACACCCCGGAAGAACCCTCAACCTCCAAAATGCCCTACAGCAGGACCCTACCAACCCCAAAACCCTCTAAGCCCGACAAACCCTCAACCCTCAACCCTAAGCCCTAAACCCTCAACCCTCAACCCTCAACCCTAAACCCCAAACGCCTACGCCAAGGCCTTTCGCAGAAGCCTTGGCGGCGTCATCGAATGCGGATCCGAGCTTGCCTCAGGATTCAACTCAGGAGTCAACGAGAGAGCCGACTTCACACCCGATGGGATGAGGGCTTAGGGCTTGGGATTCAGGGTTTAGGGTTTAGGGTTTAGGGCTTAGGGTTTAGGGTTATAAGAGTTTTAGGGTTCAGGGTTTAGTGCTTTTGTTTGGAGAGTTTTTGGGCTTAGGGCTGAGGGTTCAGGGTTTTGGGGTTTTGAAGACCTTGAGCAGTTCTTTTGCTTACTAGCACTTTGCCCCCCACCTCCACCTCAAGGGTTCAGGGTCGACCGCGCAGGGTTCAGGGTTCAGGGTTTAGGGTTTAGGGGTTTAGGGGTTTAGGGGTTTTAGGGGGTTTTAGGGGTTTTGGGGGCTTTAGGGGTTTTAGGGGTTTTTGGGGTTTTAGGGGTTTTAGGGGTTTAGGGGTTTAAACCCGGAACCCTAAACCCTAAACCCTAAACCCTAAACCCTAAACCCTTTGTAGCGGGGTTTAGGGGTTCAGGTCTCAGGGAATGCCCCCAAGACACCGGGCATGCCCTTCAGGGCAGACACGGCCTCCGACATCGCGTGGTGGGCCTTCGAGGTTTAGGGGTTAGGGTTTAGGGTTTAGGGTTTAGGGTTTAGGGTTTAGGGTTTAGGGTTTAGGGTTTAGGGTTTAGGGTTTAGGGTTTAGGGTTTAGGGTTTAGGGTTTAGGGTTTAGGGTTTAGGTGTGTGAAACCCCTATGCCTAAGCCCGGTCCTGTCGGCCTAAGCAATGTCGAAAGAGGCACCCTGACCTAAGTAACCCTATGGTCTGTCCACAGACCCCTATGAGGACCCAGCCCTGAATGTAGCCCTCCACTGCACCCCGTGCAGTTTTGGTCAAGCTCTAGCCTCTCCCTCCCACCTCGGAGCTGTCGGAAGGGCCGGCGAGGATGAAGACATGTTGGACAGCACAAGTGAACATGGGAACCTGTCGGTTTAACACTCATCGAAAACCAACTTTTTAAGTTTCTTCACTTGTGCTCCGGTGAGACTCTGGTTGAGTTCTGGCGTAGCCACTGCAGCGACTGTCTCTGCCCCGCTCTATTCTCAAGAACCTTTTGTTCGTCGAATAAGGCATAGTAACCCTCCCGTAGGTGACGTCTTAACTCGGAACTATCCATCACTTTGGTCAAACAGTCCGCTAACATGGCCTTTGAATGAACCCAGCGCATCTTGCAATTTTCTTGAAGTCTCTCCCTTAGCAACAAGCATTCCAACTGGGTGCGTAGTTCAGAACACGTAGGTACAGCAGTTTTCGTAGCTATATCGTAAGCGCTCTTACAGTCGGTGACTAACGAAGCTTGAGGCGCGTGGGAAAGGACTTCTTCCGGATGTGCGATATCAACAGCAGGATTCTTGAACCATTCCCAGAACAACCTGATCCAGGACATTCGGTCTACGGACCCACAGAGAGAAACTACCTCAGCACTCAATGTACTTCTTACTACCCTGGAGATTTTCTTACTGGACCAGGCCACAGGAATGATCACAGCTTCGCGGTTGGCTAGCATTCGCCAGTCTGTTGCCACCACCAGCGTACCCTGATACGAGTTATGGTCTTTCGACGTGGCGAAGGAAGCATCCGAAAAGGTGCAAAACGTAACATGCTGTTCTTGAATTGGCACAACCATCAAAGAGATTGGGTGAGCTTTGGCCTCTTGAAGGACACGGTTAGCTTCCAGAAGATGCTGAACCTGGCCCTTGTTGACCCTTGTCTGTATGTAGCCTACCTTTGCAGCTAGGTCGGGTCGAGAATGCACTGCAGCATACTGGAGGCTACCGTTGAGGCGTCTCAGCTCTTTAAGTTCTTCAGGGTTCAACATCGCGGTGGGATTCACTCTACGCTCTCGGGACACATGTATGGGCACGATCTTCTCTATGTACCTCTCTTGGTCCATTTCAATGCTCCCATCGTCCCATTGGCGAAAACGAATCCCGGTGAACGTGAACTCGCCCTCATCATACGACCCAAAGCTGTAGATACCCCGCAACCGATCTATGACCCTCCCAAAATACTCATCACCTCCCCCAATCCCGTCATCTACGTGTATTCCCAGAACACTACCATCGGCCCTTTGTGAAACGAGGCTGAAAGCACAGGCATCGAAAGGGCTTTGCACAAAACCAAGCTCTTCAAGTGTCTTCTTAAATGTCTGAAACCACAAAAACGGAGCATCGATTCTGCCGTAAGCGCCGCCTTCGAGCTGGCATTGTTCCTGCGCCTGCATGTTGAGGGCTCTTCTTAACTCTTCAGGTGGTCTTATGCCTAGCTTTCTACCATCCCCCTCCCCCTGCAGAAAAGCAGTGGACACATCGAAGTTGATCAGCTTCCAACGGTTACTGGCCACCTTCTGAAGGATGAGTTGTCGGGCGTCCTTACCTAAAGTAGGAGCGTCATTAGGGATATCAGCAATGTCTGGGTCTTCAAACCCAAGCACCACTAGCCTAGCTTTGGCCCGTTTCGGCCCTCCATCCTTCTCGGGACCTTTCCATGTGAGAAGCCAGCGGCAACGCATGAGTTGACTATCATCAAGGGTTCCCGCAGCTACTTTACGTACAGTCCTGTGGTCAAGCCAGGCTCGAATCTCCTTGCCCTTAGCTTCTACGAACTGTTGCCTCTCACCCTCGTTCAAGTCCCTCAATCTTACTTCAACTCGTTTCTTGCGTGCCTCGGTGGCTAACATTACAAAATGCAAAGCTTGCTGCGGCGTCGGGAGGTTTTCGAAAGGCACCTCCGTTTCATGCAAACTGATTTCCCATGCCTGTGACTGTGTGAGATGTGCGAAAAAACACTCACTGTCTCCAAACAAGAGGTCGTCTTCGTCATCTTCAGGCACAGGAATGTTCGAAGCATCTACCATATCTGTCTCGAGACCTACCGACGGCACAGGTGAGACTTCCATCTCTGGCTGTTCTCCCTCCGCATTTTCTTCAGGAACTTCAGGAACCGTACCCCCGGCTTCTATCCCAGCTACTCCTTCTGGGGCTATGGGTCCTAATGGTTCGGGAACATCCTGCGGAACCTCTCCCTGGCTCTCCACTTCTGCTCGGCTAGGTGTTCCTCCGAGAACAGCAAGGTCGACCACCCTTCTAACCCCTTGACCTACTGCCCCTTGTGAACTCTCAGCACTGGTCTTTCCCAGCACCCCTTGCCATTCTCTCAAGGACGCGGATCGCAGCTGCTCAGGAGCTGCACGGATCAATTGCCCACAGTGGCTCACCCACACTACCTTGCTATCCCCACAAATTACCTGACCCGGCCCATACCACCTTCCTTGCTCCGCACGACTCCCGGCTTTATGTCGGCGCCAGTACAGAACCCAATCGCCCGGCTCATATCTTTCACAGGGATGCCTCGAACGACGAAGTAGAGCCCTACGGTACGAGTTGTCGTTGTCTGCATGTATGAATGCGACTCTGGCCTGTTCACGGCGCTGCAGGTCCCTCCTGAAGGAGACTCCTTCTGGCAGATCACTGTCGGCTAAAGCATGGCACGTGGCACTATTGTCGGAAATCAGAGAGGCTGGCAGCCGCGAAAGTTTACCCAGGACTGCCTGTTCAGGTGTGAAGCCCCGGACCCTACTCAAGCTGTTCTTAGCCTGCACTGCCGCTCTCAGACACCGACGGAAATCTTCGTCGTTCAGGATGGGCTCTTCATGGTCCATTTTAGAAAGCATGCTCTTCAGTATCCTACCATGAGCTTCCGTCCTACCGAGTTGCCAATGAGCCTCTCCCGCAGAAACATTGGTGCACACACCTACAGTTTGCAGCTTTAGACGCCAGTAATCACTGTTGTACTCCCCTGCTGGATCTACATACAAAGTTTGACAAGGCCCTGCCCACTGAAACCAATGATCCGATAGGAACTCCCATTGTTCTTCTGGCGTCCTACCTACTCCACTGGCTTGTTGAAACAGTGTGCCCTCATCGACAATGTGCGTAAACAGAAACTTCTTCCCCCCGCTATTGGTCCAGTACGCAACATCCATACCTATTGTGTCGTTAAAATCTCGATGCGTGTGAATTGTCGCCGGCCTAGCTAACTTTTGGGTGGGAACCGTTTCCAAGCACGTACTGCAAGAGTAGTCGCGAGCACCCTGGATGAGCGCCGGCTCGGCTTTTCGTTCTTGCAGGAATCTGACAAACGTCTCAGTGCATGGATGACCCAAATTGTTATGGAGCCTGACTAACTCCCTCTTCTCGGACTCCCCTAAAGCGAAGTACCCCGGCCCGTGCCTAGGAACCGACCGTGGAGGGTAGCCCTGAATGAGCGGTCCATCCTCAGCATCCGAGCGCGTTGTCGGCACATCTGTTGTTGTTGAGGTATTTTCAGGGTTTTGGGGTGCTTCGGGATTTTGGTCTACTCTTAAGGGCATCTGCTGATTCCGGGCTTCTTCTGCTCGAAGACCCCTGAAACTCCGCAACCTTTCAGGTGACATGCCGTAAGCTGTGAGACTGAGTTTTGCAGGAATGCCTTTACGCATCTGTTTATATCGTGGAACCTGGGACCAATCCTCTATCTCACCATCCATAGCTATTTCACCACCAACCCTTTTTACCACAACCGTCTGACGTAAAGGCATGTCCCGCGGCATTCCCTCCACACAAGGTGGCTGTATCCGGTTGGTGCCTCGACAGCAGACGACATGTTGCACAACAATCTGTGGAAGCAGTGCTTGAACTTGTTGGACTACCGGGTCCCCTTCTGAAAACCCTACCTTTCCCCCTTTCGGAACCCTCGCGTTAACATCTCGAAAAACTGTATCCCAACTTATCCTAGGAGCCTCGCTTCCAGAGATTGTCGGCCCTGGCTGTTTTCCAAACAGTCTTCGGCGCTTCAAAACTTGCTGGGCGGCAGTAATGTCAGAGTTAGAGACTCCCCGCTTTTCAACATTAAACAACAGCTCTTCTAAAGGCAGAGGAAACCCTAAGTCCTGACCTAGGTGCATGGCTACCCGTTTGGCAAGACGCCTCTCTCGTGGGAACATGCGGTTGCTTCGCCCACTGGGATCTGGACCCGCTGTCTGAAAGCGAGTGTCGACACTTTGCTGCAGTCGTCTGGACGTGGTGTACAGTGTGGTGGCTTTGCGGAGATGGTTGTTTCCTGGCGGGGTGTCTCCCACTTCCAGCTCATGAATCATTCGCAAAGTGCCCTGTTGAACCTCTTGGAGTTGAGGCGCCATTTGCTCAAAGAAACCCTGGCCACACAGGAAATGTATGTGCTTGCCTCGTTCTGTTTGGTAGCGATAAAGGTCAAGAAGAAACTGTCCTGGCCATGGTGTCTTTTTGCCCTTGTCTGTTTTGTGGTTCCACGGCTGCTGCAAATCCAACCAGAGATGTGTCGGCTCATACATTGAGATCAGCTTCCAGAGGCGATCATACATACCCCGAGCGCTCCCAAGCTTTGCCGGAGAAAGTGTTAAAGCTCTCCCGCCACATCTCTGAACGGCTGCGCAAATGGCCCCACTACCGATTTCGATGACATCAAGGGAGGGCAGACGGTACTGGCACACCGAATTTCTCACTGCATCACCAAGTTGTTCTTCGATTTGCAGGATGTACTTGTCTATTTGTGCACACATTTGTTGAACCTTGCCATGCCTCCCTTGATTGCTTGCGTCCGTCTCCATGCTTGGATCAACCCTCACTCCTTGTCGGCATCTTCGATCTCCCGAAGCCTCGTCAGCTCTCTTTCGAGCACGGCCCGGCGCGTCATGATCTCCTCCGGCGACATGGCAATGGGCATCTGCAAGCTTGCCCCCGGCTGACTGTTCCTCTTGCTGCCCCGGCTCGGTGCAGCTGTGTGGGATGTGGCATCCGGCGAGCAGAGCTTCCACCCATCGCTCTCCTCTCCGTCCATGACGGCTGGACCCTGGGACTTGATGTTCTTTGCCTCCGCCTTGGTCGTGGACCTCGCCTGCTCCGTCTTGGCCATCTGCTTCAGTCGCATCAGGGCATAGTTCTTGAACGACAGTGCCCATGGGCTGCTGAGAGAAGACTTCCGAGCCATGAGGATCGAGTAGGACAGGTCGGTCTCGAACGTTTCCTTTCTCCTTGCCAGCCGCGATCACCACTTGGCCCCATTCCCGAAGATTCGCAATCCCCGGTGGGCGGACAACTTCCACCTCCAAGTACTTTACCATGGTCAGCTGTTCCTCGGCCAGGTGCACATCCTCCTCCGCGGAGAGAGGTTCGTCCAGATTGACCTCGGGCATCTTCTCTTGGAGCTTCTTCACGGACTGCTTGACTGAGGTGGGCATCGCTCGGTTGGAAGCCGCTCGGCGAAGGAGAAGGATATTCGAAGATTCGCGCTGTCTGCTTGAGCTCAGGCTGCCGTGTTGTGTTCTGTGGTTCCTGGAAACGCTGCTTTGCTGATTCTGGTGGAACGGAAACATCTTCTGGGGGACTGGGGACTGGACTGTTGGCTGGTGTTCCCGAGGAGGCTTCTGGACGCGGGTGCGCCCCCAGACTGTCAACAACGTAGACAGGAGCCTTCCTGTCCCCGACGTGAAGGAGATCTGACAGATTGACTATGGATAGTCCTCGCTCATCCCATCTAAGGTCTACCCTCCTAGAACCACCCAGCATTAAATACCCCTCTTTAACATGAATAACTGCGTCTAGGTCCCTGAGAAGACGATTTGATATCAACAAAGGAGTGTTTCCGGGGATCACCTCAACTCTGACCCATGTGTCTTCTGAGGTGGGCAGCAGCAGCGCAAATTTTGACGTGAGTGTCCCGCTGTTTCCAAAACGGAAGGTGACATCAGAAGCTATCTTCCTTACTCGACCGCGACACTCTGCAGCAAGACCGCTTATCACTTCTCGAACCCTTTGGTCTCCTAGCACAGTCCTACTGGCCCCTGTATCTAGCACCCCCTCAGTACCTACAGTGGCTACTAGAATTGCTTCAGGAATTATGGGACTGGGCTTGCTGCGTCTCAAAACTGCCTGCTTCGGCGCGGTTGCCGGCCCTTGCGCCTCAGAAGATGCACCCGGCGGCGCACAGCTTGGCGTCCTACATGTCCTGTGAATCATTAACAAACGTCGTGCAAGGCAAGACTCGAGAGACAAAGAAGGCCCCACCTTTGGCGCAACCATAAAGCAAGTCTCCCCGAAGTCCTGAATTACTCCAGTATTCCCTGTCCCTGTGCTAACCCCTCTCTGCGTCCATGCGCTGTCGTCCTCATCGATGTTGAAGGGCTCGGAGTCTGGCAGGGTCTGGAGAACCTCCGATTGGAAGGGATCGGTCGGCTGGATCTGGGCAAACAAGGTCGCCTCTGGCTTAGCGTCGTTCTTCGGGCACTCCCGCTTCCAGTGCCCTTTGGCCCCACATTGTTTGCAGTTGGAGTTGGCGATCCGATCTGCAAGGGAACGTCGACGGCCCCCATCCCAGGAACCATAACCCTTGCCTCTCTTCGCGGACTGGCCCTTCCCCTTCATCTTGCCCTTGATGGGCCAGAACCCCCTGGACTTTGCTTTGTCCCGCAGCTTTTGACGAGCTTCTTGGTACGAGGCAAAGACTGGGGCCAACTCACTCTCCTGCACCGCCTCCACTATCTGATCTTCAAACTCCGTGATGTAGATGGCGTCCTCGTCATTGGCCTCAAGGAAGTGAGCCAGGATGAGCTCATCGCTGAGGTCCTCGTCCTGTCCCATCGCCATGTGCACTTCCTCAAAGGTGTCGTCGTCTGTCGTCATGTGGATGTCGTAGACCTTGCTTCGATCCATTGCCTTGGCATTTCCCGGGCCACTACGGTTCTGAAAGTCTGTGAAGAACTTGGACCCCAAGAGCCGCACTGCTCGGACCGTTTCTTGGTACTTCAAGTCGCCCTTGGCTTCCACGATCACACGCTTCTTGTCCTCCGGGGCCAACAAGGATTGACGGAGAAGAACATAGGCGCGGATCTCTTCAAGGGTCACCCCACGGCTCAAGAGTTCCTCAAAGAAAGCGTCGTGTCTGGCAATGTACGAATCGTTACTCTCGTCCGCCTTCTGTTGCGTCTGAAAGATGGCCTGCTCAAAGAAGTGGTATCGCTCCTCCACTGTGGTCTTTCCCCAAGACCCGCCCAGCGACTCCACAAGGTACTTCACACCATCAGGTCCTCGCAACTGCTCGGGCTTGATCCGGCTCACCTTTTGGAAGGCGGCCCCCTCCACCAAGAGGGCTGCCCGGGGAGCCAACAACGACAGATGCTCGGCTGGCCACAACTCTTTGAGAAAGCGAAGCCGTTGAGAGTACTCGTCCACGCTTGTCACCCCTGGCGTAAACTTCGGGACCTGCTGCCACGGGAGATGGCTCACACCTCCGGTGGCTCCTGCCGCTGCTTCAGCCGTTCCTTCTGAAGCTTGCGCCATGGCGCCGCGCCACTCCCATCAACAAAAACTCCCTGGAACCCCCTGTTTACACTAACTCCTAGCTAGCGACAGGCCCGGCTCCGCTACCAATGTGAAACCCCTATGCCTAAGCCCGGCCCTGTCGGCCTAAGCAATGTCGAAAGAGGCACCCTGGCCTAAGTAACCCTATGGTCTGTCCACAGACCCCTATGAGGACCCAGCCCTGAATGTAGCCCTCCACTGCACCCCGTGCAGTTTTGGTCAAGCTCTAGCCTCTCCCTCCCACCTCGGAGCTGTCGGAAGGGCCGGCGAGGATGAAGACATGTTGGACAGCACAAGTGAACATGGGAACCTGTCGGTTTAACATAGGTGGTTGCCGACCCAGACCCCTGGGAGGATCCATTTCAGGCTTCCCGTTCCGAGAGCCCTCGGGAGCCCGTCAACCCTAAAGGCTCTAGACCCTCAACACTTGGGATGTCCCCCCTAAGACTAACAGTCCTTGATGGGGATTATTGCACCCCTATGTTAGTCCCTACTAAGGACTGTCAGAATGAGGTGGAACATCCCAACTCAACACCCATCACGCCCCCAAACCCCAAAATCACGATAAGCCCTCGACCTAAGGACCACAGAAGAGTCCTAAACCCTCCTAAGGCCCCTAAACCACGACTCCCAAAACCCTAGATCCCGAAATCCCGAAAACCCGAGACTACAATTTAAGAACCCGCTGAAAGCATGCGAAATATTCTTCCTTATCCGGGCAATAAAGGGGTGATACGCTTTTGTTTTGGGGGAACTAGTAGATAAACCCCTAAACCCCAAACTCCTAAATCCCTCAACCCTAAGACCCCTCAAAGTCGCCTCAAAACCCCCTCAACTCCCTATCAACCCGATAAGGCCTACAAACCCTACGAGCCCGTACACCCTAAAAGCCCTCAAAACCCTCTAAACCCCCGAACACCCCTCGAACTCACCCCTAAAACCCCTACTGCCACTAATCCACTAAACCCAATCTCCTGTCCCTATAAGCTCCAAGCCCTAAACCCTAGACCCCAAACCCTAAACCCTAAACCCTAAACCCTAAACCCTAAACCCTAAACCCTAAACCCCAAACCCCAAACCCCAAACCCCAAACCCACGCACCTGGGGCTCAAGGTGCCCCTCGGGGTGCGAGGTGATCTGGAAGCCCGGGGGCAGGGCCTCGCCCGGGGCGAACCTCGGCCAGGGTTTGGGGTTTAGGGTTTAGGGTTTGGGGTTTGGAGTTTAGGGTTTGGGGTTTGGGGTTTCGGGTCTGGGGTTTGGGGTTTGGGGTTTGGGGTTTGGGGTTTGGGGTTTGGGGTTTGGGGTGATTTTAAGGTGTGGTACAAGGGGTTTCTTAAGGGTGGTTAAACCTCGGCTCTTTTCCCAAAGTCTTTTAATAGTGCTTTTAAGGATTGCTATAAGGGGTTTCTTAAAGGTGTTTGAAGGTTTGTTGTGGGTGTTCTCAGGGCTTCTGGGTAGTTCTTCGTCTGTCTTTCGGGTTTGTTAAGGGTGTTTAAGGGCCTAGTTTTAAACCCTAAGCCCTAAGCCTTGCGGGGGGTTACTTGGAGGTTCATGGCACTTATTAACGAATCATAACTGTACTTATAACCCACTTAATAAGTTGGTTTGTAACCATATTAGGGCAGTTGAGGGACTTAATACGTCTTATTAAGTCCCTCAACTGCCCTAATATGGTTACAAACCCCACGCCCTAAGCCCTAATTAAACCCTAGAATGGGGCTCAGGGTTTAGGGCATGAGCCCTAGGAGGCTTACGGTCCATATACAAGTACAGCTAGAAGTACAGTTACAATTGGCTAATAGCCCACGTAGAAGTCCCTTAAGTGCCCCAATATGGTTATAAGTACAGCAACCATTGGTTCATAAGCACCATGAACCTCCCCCAAACCCTAAACCCTAAACCTTAAACCCTAAACCCTCAACCCTAAACCCTCAACCCTAAACCCTAAACCCTAAACCCGGGGTTGTTGGGGTTTCGGGCAGTGGTCTATGGGGTTTAGGGTTTTGGGAGGTTTGGGGGTTTTTGGTTTTTGGGCTTAGGGTTTAGAGGGCTTAGGGTTTAGAGGGTTTAGGGTTTATAGTTAGGGCTTAGGACTTTGGGTTTAGGGGTCAGGGTAGAGTCAGGGTAGGGCTTAGGGTCTATGGGTGTTGTGGTTGAGGGATTTAGGGTTTTAGGGTTTCGGGGCTTAAAGTTGAGGTTATCTTGGCTGCACTTAGTAGGGTAGCAAAAATTACACTTCTAGCTGCCTTATTCAGAAACCAAATAAACCCAAAAAGGCTAAGGATCTAAGGTTACAGTAAAGCACCGCAGAGTTTTGGGGGGGAACCGCCGCCCAGGGTGTGCGAAAGCCAGACATAGAAACACACACCCAGCTCCGCAAAAACCCTAAACCCTAAACCCTAAACCCTAAACCCTAAACCCTAAACCCTAAACCCTAAACCCCCCCCCAGACCAAGAGGTTGAGCTCCCGGCCACTTTCCCTGGCTGTGGTCGATGGCCGATTGCAGCTGGGCTCCGGCTGCTTGCAGCTGGTTTTGGAATTGATCTGGGCGGCCACTGGAAGAGAACAAAAGAGAGGGTTTAGGGTTTAGGGTTTAGGGTCTAGGGTTTAGGGTTTAGGGTTTAGGGTTTAGGGTCGAGGGTTTAGGGTTTAGGGTTTAGGGTTTAGGGTTCAGGGTTTAGGGTTTAGGGTTCAGGGTTTAGGGTTTCAGGGTTCAGGGTTCAGGGTTTAGGGTGTAGGGTTTAGGGCAACCCCTCCTGGTACTTGTTAACCAATTATAGCTGCATCCCAAAACAAGTTCATGCCAAGCAAAACATGTTCACACCACTAAACCCTAAACCCTAAACTAAACCCTAAACCCTAACCCTAAACCCTAAACCCTAAAGCCTAAAGCCTAAAGCCTAAACCCTAAACCCTAAACCCTAAACCCTAAACCCTAAACCCTAAGCCACCTCCAGACAGCTTTAGCTCTGCCAAATAAAAGGTCAACTTTGTACAGCAATCCATGGTCAATTAGGTGCCCAAAGAGCCCAATATCCCTTAATTAAGGAATAGACCTTAAACCATATTCAGGATCCCCACATAAACTAAGCAAAATATTCCCTATCTAAGGGATGTTGGGCTCGTTGGGTGTCTTTGCTTTGGGCACCTAGGGGGCTGATCAGTGGGTTATAAGTACAGCGAGAATTGGTTAAGAAGTGCCATGAACCTTCCAGGACTCCGGCGCCCTGCGGGGCGGACTCCTGCTTGAATTCTTGAATCCCCGATACTCACCGCCACTTGCCGCAAAGGCTCTGTAGCCGCCCACCACCATGGATTGAGCCTGCCCAACATCACATGCGCGCCTTCTTAGGGGCCCTAGCTTTGAAGAAGGTCAACCTTGTTTGTATAGAGTGGGGTTCTAGATAACCAAAAAGGTTAAAGGTTACCTACCCAGTACCCTAAACCCTAAACCCTAAACCCTAAACCCTAAACCCTAAACCCTAAACCCTAACCCTAAACCCTAAACCTGTTATCTGCCACAGGACTGGGAATTTCAAAAATGGGGCCATGGAGATCGGGGCGCATGTGCAGGACGAGGATGGTTCTCAAGAAACAATAAATATCCCTATGAACCTCTAAAACCCAACAAGGGGAAAGATAACCCTAAACCCTAAACCCTAAACCCCAAGGGCCTACCCAGAGGACTGTTCAGCTTTCACGTCTGACAGTGTTTTTTCCAGGTTTGAGCAGATGCGGTTCTGCGCTGCTGGCAGCTTACTTGAGGTGACAAACGAGACTCCTTGAAAGGGCATGTTCAGGCAGGCTCTGTCCACGTGAGCACGTGAGCTTACGCTGACAACAATCCATGAACGGCAGGGGCGGGACTGGGAGGGAGGGGGGGGGGGGGGCCTCCCACGAGCAGGCGATTTGCAGCTTTGCATTCTTAAGCTAGGCCCAAGAGTAGCCTAGACTGCCCAAAAAAGGGAGTAAGGGCCTGCTCTGGGTCCTGCTTGGAAGCTCATGGTACTTAATAGCCAATTATAACTGCACTTACAACTGTACTTCTAACTGTACTTACAACTTGTAACCATGTTAGGGCCCTTAAGGGACTTACAAGTGGGTTATTAGTACAGTTGTAATTGGTTAATAAGTGCCATGAACCTCCGAAGTAGTAAACTCCTCCCTAGAACCTAAGGAGCCACTCCCGGGAACCCCTCACACCCGAAGCCTGCCCAAAGGGCCTTAAGTACCTACATCGTAGAAAGAAGGGTTGAGGGTTTAGGGTTGAGGGTTTAGGGTTTAGGGTTGCTATAAGAGGAATTACTATTCTGGTTTAGGTAAGTGCCCCCCCCCCCCGCCCCCATATAGGCTTAGTTGCGGAGTTCATAAGCCCCCCCCCAAAAGTGTACACTTTTAGTTTTATAGGGATTATAGCGTCCCAAAGAGTGTAACGTGGACTCATTCAGCCACTAAGTAGGTACTTAAACCCTAAACCCTAAACCCTAAACCCTAAACCCTAAACCCTAAACCCTAAGGACCCTTGGGGTTGCCTGCGGGATGCCCTGCTGGAACTGCTGCACGTACTGCCCAGCCGACTGCGCAGGCTGTGGAAAGGGCTTCGACCCTAAACCCTAAGCCCTCAACCCTCACCCCTAAACCCTAAACCCTAAACCCTAAACCCTAAACCCTAAACCCTAAACTGGCCCTAAACCCTAAACCCTGAACCTAAATAGGGATTCGATGGCTGCAGCTGCCATAACTGGCTGGTTCTTAGTAGGGAATGAGGGAATTAGGGCCCTATACGCTTTAAGGGATCATATACTAAGAACCAGGGGATAGGGGCTTGTGTGGCAGTTAGGGTTCGCGTCTCAGCGTTTTGAGTTCAAAACCCTGAAACTTCTGCCGCAACCTACTCGCAGCACACTTGTAGAGACACACCTGGAGGTACTGCGGCATGGGCTGCGGCTGCCTAGGGTGCGGAGCTTTGGGAATTTCTCGATCTGTCTTTCCCCACCACTCTACCCCCCCTTCGAACATTCCTACTACGCCCTAAGACTCCCTGCGCTTCCCTAAGGTTCCCTCAAGCTTCCCTAAGGTTCCCTAGGTACCTACCCCCCATGAACCCCCCTCTTTCGTAGACACCCTGTCATGAACCCTGCTTCAAGGCCCGAAATAAGTCGAGGGTCGCAGCAGGATACGTCATCACCTCGGCGGATGCGTGGGTTACAGACTTTGGAGACTTTGGGGTATCGTTGAACCCTATAGCCGATAAACCCTCAACGTCCTAAACCTTAAACCCTAAACCCTAAACCCTAATCCCTAAACCCTAAACCCTAAACCCTAAACCCTAGACCCTAAACCCTAAACCCTAAACCCTAACCCTAAAGCCTAAGCCCTGCACCCTGAGCTTCTGCGGAACAGGCTTCAGGGCTTGGGGTCCAGTAGTCCAGGGCCTAGTTGTCCAGTAACCTGGGGGAACGAGGGGTTTGGGGTTTAGGGTTTAGGGTTTAGGGTTTAGGGTTTAGGGTTTAGGGTTTAGGGTTTCTGTTACCCCAAAAAGGTTAAAGGTTACCTACCCTACTACTAGGAATATGAACTTCCTAAACCCAAGAGAAAGGTAAAGATAACATGTCCCTAGGGCCTACCCAGAGGACTGTCCGGGCTTTAGGTCTGACAGGTTTAGGGTTTAGGGTTTAGGGTTTAGGGTTTAGGGTTTAGGGTTTAGGGTTTAGGGTTTAGGGTTTAGGGTTTAGGGTTTAGGGTTTAGGGTTTAGGGTTTAGGGTTTAGGGTTTAGGGTTTAGGGTTTAGGGTTTAGGTGAGGTTTTGAGGTTTTGAGGTTTTGAGCAAATCACTCGGATACCGCAAACCACGCAAACACGCCCCAAAAAGCCCTACACCCTAAACCCTAAACCCCTAAGCCCCCAAACAGAAAAGCTCTCTTCGAGAGCCAGCCGCAGGTTGAGCCATGGCGGTCGCGACACAACGTAGGCGGATCGAGTTGGGGGAAAAACTGCTGAAGGCTGCGGCAGGATGTTCAGGGTCTAGGGTTTAGGGTTTAGGGTTTAGGGTTTAGGGTTTAGGGTTTAGGGTTTAGGGTTTAGGGTTTAGGGTTTAGGGTTTAGGGTTTAGGGTTTAGGGTTTAGGGTTTTTCCGGCTATTCGATTTGTCAGAGGTTCAGAGGCAAACTTTGGGCTCGTAGGATGAACCCAGATCACCCCGAGCCGAGCTTGGGCTTCAAGTGCATGAGGGTTTTGGGCTTCATGGGGTTTTGGAGTTTTAGGGTTTAGGGTTTAGGGTTTAGGGTTTAGGGTTTAGGGTTTAGGGTTTAGGGTTTGGGGTTAGGGTTTAGGGTTTAGGGCTTTGAAGCAGATGGCAGCTTCCTTTCCGAGCGATGTAAGCAAGACATTGGCGGTGACGCTGGGGTGACAGCATCCGCAAGTTCTCCGGCACCTCGCACCCGACATTCCCCAACCATGTCAAACCCTATTTAGCTTGAACCTCCAGGGAATCAAAGTGAGGTTCAGAGCTTCCATCCAAGGCACTTTGCAACACAAGTGTTCAGCCAAAGATCACAAGCTTGAAGCCACATATGAAGTAGGGTATGTATTTCTTGTACCCCCAAAAGGACACCAGGTATATACACTCACGAATATTGAAAAGGAACCTTATTTACACCCACCCAAAACAGAAATATAAACCCTGAACCCTGAACCCTAAACCCTAAACCCTAGCCCTAAACCCTAAACCCCTAAACCCTGCTACATATGGTGCGGCTTGCCGGTCAACGTCACACCCGCCCCCCCCTTGAGACGGGCGATGGTCGACAAGTTGTGCTGTGCGCGGAGGGATTTCCCGAAGAATCTCAACACGGTTGCAGACGCGAGAACTCCCTAAACCCTAAGCCCTAAACCCTTAACCCTAAGCCCTAAACCCTTAACCCTTAACCCTACTGAAAGCCTAAACCCTCAACCCTAAGCATGGAACCCTGATATTGACATGCTCTGCGGGTCTCTTGTGTGCCTTCCATGCGGGTCGTACCGTACTGTGTGTCAGGCTTATGAGCCCTAAATCGAAACCTGAACCCAATACTCTTTGAACCCTATGAACATTCCCTAAGCCCCAAACCCTAAAACCATAAGCCCCTAAAACCCCCAAAACTCCGAAACCCTGAAATCCTAAAATCCTAAAGCCCTAAAGCCCCAGAACCCTCAAAACCCAAAAGCCCTAAAGCCCTAACCCCCAAAACCCTAAAACCCTGAGGCCCTCAACCTACACCCGGGGGGTTCTTGCGCTTGGCCTGAAATCCTAACCCTAAACCCTAAACCCTAAACCCTAGTGAGCAGTGCCTTGGCCCCTGCACCCTATCAAGGGACTAAAGGAGGGACCCTTATAAGGGACCTTCGGGGCTTTCTATAAGGTATACATAGGGGTTATATAGGGGAATAAGATTAAGGGTCTAAACCCTAAACCCTGAACCCTGAACCCTGAACCCTAAACCCTAAACCCTAAACCCTAAACCCTAAACCCTCCTGATACCCCTTAACCTTGTGAAGACACGGGCTCATAAGGCTCATGGGACCCCGAGGGCTTGAACAGTCCTGAGGTTGAGGATCGGGCTTGGTTTAGAACCTAGGGTTTAGGGTTTAGGGTACGGGGGCAACCGAAAGGGAAAGGAAACCAACCCCAACAGTCGCCAGAGATTCCACCCTGAACCAACCAGCAAACAACAGGAACTCAAGACTTCTTTTTGTTACCAGGCGCATGGCCCAGTCTTGAGCCATGAAGATTAGCAGGTACATTGACCCTTCAACTTCCAACACCAACTCCTTTCTACAATACCAACTGCAGCTCCGCACTCCCCCTGTCCTAGGATTTCCTAGGACACACATTGTAGGTGCAGACCTTTGGCCAAAAACTGCCATTAGGGCAGCAGCCAGCTGCCTGAAATGCACATTATGGTTTTACGTCATCCAGGACGAATTTATAGCTCATTGGCTAAACCCACTAACCACAGAGAATCTTTTTTCACCATGATCCTCTTGTCATTGAAGACTCTTCGGTCTTCTTCACCACGAACCGTGGTCTTCGCTACGCAAAAAGCTACTGACTTCTACTATCAGGGATTTCCATACCCTTAATAGTAACCACCGTATTTTCAGCGCATTGGCTGATCCAGCACACCTGTCTTCAGAAAGAGAAAAACCATTCCTTCATCCATACCATCCAGTCACTTCTTCTTCCGATGGGTATCGATACTGAGGTGAAGTCGCAGCAGAACATACTCTAGGTCCGACACTGTAAGAACAGGATCCTGCACGCACCTTTGAATT